ATGGATGGGTGCCACAGTAGCAGGTCTCTCATCTGAAGGAATAACATGAGCAAGCCTCCAGTGGTGCTAGTTTTCTGCTGAACAGAAAGGGCAAAGAAGAAAACCAGTCTCTCTTGGTAGTTGGCCTTGTTTTCCATCTCAACTCTCAGCACATTCTTTTACAGACAGTGAGCTGTGGGGTGTGTGGGAGAGGCAGCTGGCAGGCTTCTTCTTGTACATGCGCAGCGGAACGTGGAGAGAGAATTCACAAATACAGAGAGGTAGTGGGAAATTGCAGGGCAAGAAGTGTGCTTTGGAGAAGGTCAGACTGTTACAGACTGGGATGTCTGTAACAATGGAAGACTGTCGTGCAGCACTGGCACCAGCCAGGCACGGGGTGCAGCTTGCCCTCCTTTACACTCCATCATTACAGATGCTGCTTTATGATATTCACTCTTCCTCAGCTCTTTGTAGGGAGCTTTGTGCCAGATGGGAGCCAGATGGCTTTGGGACCTGTGTAGGCAGTGGGTTGTAGCAGCTGGTGAGGGCATTGTAGTGCAAAGACTGCATTGTATCTTCCTGTCCATCATCACTGCATTCCTCTGCCCCCTTCTCCGTTAAAATCAGCTTCTTCCTGCTGCACAAACAGCTCTCCTTTAGTGTTGTCCTGTCAGACAGGGCTAGCAATACTGCAAATTGATGCTGCCTCTGGTATTTATACTTGATGAAATATGTGATACAGAAGCAACAGATTACTCTGGGCTTTGCAACTGCCCTGCCCTCCAAGGCACATAACAGCTGCCAGCAATATGTGAACATAACTAACTATTTTAAAGCACACAGCATGTGGCAGTCCTTTTTCTATGCTACCCAAGAATTAAAATGTTGGTAGGTTTTGACATTGTCCAGATATTGCAGGAAATTTTAAAATTCCCTTTGCGTATCTTTTCTACAATACTCTTGAGGTCCATCAGTATTGTCAAACTGTTTTTTTTTCTTTATCAGTCTCACAGATTAGCCAAAACATCTGCATTATATTCCTAAGATCTTTACTGACTGAGCCACCCAGACCACAATTCTAACTGGGTCATCTGTGTGACTGAAAAGAATAAAGGGAAAATCCCTGGAGCCTGGACCCCTCAATCTTCTCAACCTGTTGAGCTCAGCTGTGCCCCGTTGGAGATGAATAACACTGCCTCATCTGGAAGATCCCATATCCACAGACTCATTTCTACTTTTCTCTTCATTGTCAGCCACAGTGTTCCCAGGTCTGGGTTTTTTTCCAGCAGGGATGGAAGGTACAGCCCTTTCCCAGCAGAATTTTAAATTCAAGGTTAGGGCATATTTTTTTTTTTCCTGGTAAGTAGCATGACCAAAAGTGGATCTTCAGGAAAGGGTTGTATATGAGACCTTTTGAATTTGATGAAAGAAGAGATGAGGGAACAATGATAAGAGAGATCCAGTCAAACAGCAGGAAGTTTGATTCTTGCTTTATATGGACAGGTTTATATGTCAGTGCTTTGCTTTCCATGGATTAGAAACAACCACAGGAGGGTTTCAAATTTTGGTGGGTATCTGGGTGCCCAAGACAGAGAATGACTGAGAAACTGTGACTATAATATACTTTGAAAATGCCATTACTTGCTGATTTTTGTGTTGATAACATGGCACAATCACAGAGTATGCTGGGTTGGAAGAGACCTATCTGGATCACTGAGTCCAATTCCTGGCCCGTCACATGACACCCCAAGAGTCACATTATGTGCCTGAGAGCATTCTCCAGGTTCCTCTGGAATTCAGCCAAGCCTTAGTGCTGTGACCAGTACTGTTGTTTGCTTTCTAGATGCTTCTGAGTATCCAGCCCTGTAACTCAGCTAAACCCTGACCCTACCTAACTGCAGGTATTATTAGTACAGGAACACAGTGATTTAGAGATTCTGCCCATACCCAGATTTTCTTTTTCCCCAGCTGTTGGAATTTACTTGAGATTACCTTCAACTTGAAGTCACAGTTCTGTAGGGGAATGGAAGTAACATCATGTTTTTTGTGTCTTCTCACAGAAGTGGAAGATGAAAGGCAGTTTCATTCAACACTTTGTCAGCGGTCTCTGCCTGGAAAACCAGACTGGAAGAGTGGTGACCAGCCCCTGTCAAGCAGGTGTACCTGGCCAACAGTGGGAGCTGTTACAAGCAACATGATGGTAGCACAGAGATCTCCTTGTTTCTTTGTGCATGAGACTTTGGGAGCAGAGGGGGATCAGGAAGGGAGGAATGGTTTTGTATGTCTGACCCTAAATGTTTTCATTGTGCTCATCAGTAAGCCACCACTTCAGCTGAGCACTTGATGTTTTTGAGGTTTTCAGAGAAGAAGCTGGGGGTGAGAGGAATCAGGACAGTTGTCAAAATCTTCCCATCTCTTGTCTTAAGTTCTCCTTTGTAGCTGATGTCTGCACAGCTGCATCTAGAGATGGAGGAGGACCCAGCCCAATACTTGCAGCTCTCCCCATTCTTTCCTTTTTCTGTATCCAGAGTCCACAACCTTCAGACCAGCAGCTTAGGATATGCTTGTACAAACATTGGTAGCTCTTTGGCTTTTTGCTCTAACATTCTGCATCGTTCATGTATATGTCTCTCAGTGAGGACTGGCCAGGAGAGTCATCATGATCAGTGGAAAGGCTGGGAAGGAGCTAGCAGATCCTGGGGGCAGGTTTGTCACCTCTCTTTGGTGGGCCCATTCCTTCCTCTGCTCACAGAAGCTGCCCTACAGCCAAATGTGCTGAAGTTGGGCAGAGAGATATTGGAAAGGGACGATCTGTTTTACCAGCCTAACCAGGGATTGTTTCAGGGACTATTCCCTGAAACTCTCCCTTCCAGCTTTTTTATGTGTGTAAGGTCAGCCCTACCTCCAAGAGTGGCCAAATCCTGCAGGTTCAGGGTACCATGTTCTGCTGGAGCCAGTCAGAGACAGGTGCCAACACTTGGGCATGTTAGGGAAGCTGGGACTGTTCTCTGGCTGCTCTTCCTGGTGCTACCAGCCACTTCCCACTGCAGCCCACACCAAAGGTGGTGCACAGAGCTGCATGGGCAGCACACACAGACAGAGGTGCTGCACATGGCTCAGGGTGTGGCAGGAGCCCACCCTGACCCCCACTGTGAGAGACAGAAGGGGACAGGCCCTAGGTCATAGCAGACTTCTTGCTGCTGGCTGGGCAGGCCACAGTTCTCACGCTTGTCTCTCCAGCTCTGCATAGAGCCCCTGTGAACAGAGCCTGGCACGACAAACTACCCACTCTCCTGTACAGTTGCTTTTCCTTCTCTCTTTGAGAAAGACAAGGCAAAAGGGTTGGGGCTGCTCTACTTTTGACACCCCTCTCACTTCCCAGTCAGCAACTTGGGGAGAGGTTAGCTGGTGAAGCTGGAACTGCCCCCTGTACAAATGCTGCCACAGTGTAGGCCTGCCCTGAGAGAGGCTCCTTTGTGTTCTGGAAATACCAAAGACACTGGTGGTCTCTAGCTAGCATCCCAATCCTGCTCCCAGTTACCAGTCAGCTCTAGCTGCATCTAGGTTTTCAAACCTGCCAAGGGATGCTTACCTATTCAAATAAAGTCCCCACAACCTGACCTTCTCCTAATTAGACCTGTTAAATTTTCCTCTTGAGATAGATTTTGTAAACCCAACCCTCTTTTCCAAGAACCTGACAGGGGAACCAGATGGTGGGACCATCTTCATTAGGCAATTGCTTGCCTAGATCATTTCTGATATGTGTAGAAGAAACAGGTTGTTCATTTGGATTCTGAACAACTGTTACCTTTTGATCATGTTTGTATCTCTTTTTAATTCTTTCTCTTAACTTGGTATTAGCCCAAACACTTGACGAAAGAACAGATAATGTTCTTCATACATTGCATGTGCTTAGTGGGAAAACTGGACAATATTTTTTGTTCTTGGTTTTAAAAAATTAAATCCATCATGTGGCAGGAGCTCTTATCCTGTCTCCCCCTTTACTTTGATATCAGATCCCCATCTCAGCACTGATTAGCCAGAAGAATGACCTGCCTGCACTGTGAAAACTCACAAGGGAGTTCCTTTTGATCCTTTCAGAATGGTGCAGCTGCTCTTCTCTGTGGAAATGAGGGCACTGACTCTGCAGTAATTTCTCTTTCCCTGTATAGACATGCTTTGGGCCAGAACCACTGAGGTCAGGAGAGGGCAGAGAAGGAAGGAAAATAGCCTAGGAATGGAATGAGAGTGGGCCAGACAGACCCATTGAGGGCAGAGATGCCATCCTATTAGTTACTGCATTTTTAAACAAGACTATACAGGAGACGGTCCTTTCAGAATAGCATCATTATGCAGTAGGAGACAGGAACAGCCAAGTTCTTACCTACCTGGCTTGAAAAATATTGATGCAAAGATAGAAGAAGGGCCACTAAGAGGTACTGTTTGTAAGCTCCATATACAATGAAGTGTGAAAAGATTACATGTTTTCGTCAAAACACAGCCTAAGTGGACCATCTGACCTCCACCCATTTCACTCTCCAGCAGCTTATGTGTTGCAGCTAACAGCATGTTCACTCCTCTACCAGGTACTGCCTCCTTCCTCCCTGCTCCCACTGTGTGTGTGCAGCTTTCCTGCAGTTCCTTCTTCATAACCACTCTGGGACCAGGACCCAGCTCCTCTACAAACAATGCTCCTGACTGCTGCAGACCACAGAAGCTCTGCTTATTTACAGTTTCCAGGCTCTGGGCCAGCCCTAATTCAAAGGGCTCTGGTCAGCACAATGACTGCTGCCCTTGCCTGTGTGTTTGGCTCCCATGCTGGAGGTTGCTGACTGCTCTTGGAGCAGACATACCTGGACTGGCTGTCTTGATTTATGCCTCTCTTCCTACTGCTCTTCTGGCAGAGTGTGAACTGGCATCCTTCTTGAGCTGTAAGCTGGGGCTGCTGAAGATGGGACACTCTCCTTCCTCAGGTGCCATGGCCTGGGGAAGGAAAGGGCAAAGGTGGACATATGCTAGATGTCAATAACTCAAATTGCTTGTGGAGTTTGGAGTTTCATTTTTTAATTCTACCTGGTTTTGAACATATTCACTTGAGGTCACCTCCCAACTGCTCACTCTTCTGTCAGCTAAAGCATTGCTTTAGCTCAACACAGACCTCTCCACACATCATCTTTTGGAAGCTGTTGGTTTCCAATGTATTTTAGCAGTTGCTGAAAAGGAAGTACATTGCAAAAGGCTGCTGTCAAGTGTGGGTAAACTGATTTTCTTCTTGGAATAAACAAAGTCTTGTTCAAACTCAGTCCTAGCATACTCTACATTTCCTTTGCACTGAAGGGAAGGAAGAACAATGTTATCTCTACTTTTTTCCCCAAGGTCCACACAATGCCATGTTTTGGAACAGGTCTCCATTAGGATTGCTTCAAGCAAACTGACTATTTTAATAGTCAGAACAAGCAGCTGCTCACCCTTGTTTTCCTGTTTACTTTAAACAGCCCCCTAGACTGTCAAGACAGAGAATTTGCATTGGTAATACCCTTAAAGAAAGCTGTTACTGTATCAGAGCATCCAATGTAATTTCCTCTGCTGTGAACCAATGGGAGTCTATTTAAGAGGAGCTGAATCTACTGTTGTACAGAAATTGGATTCAAAAGGTTTATTTTTCCCACTCAGTTGTAAGTTGCACTTTGCCAGATGTAATTTATGTGGAACCCAGATTTGTTTTCCTTTTTCTTCAAAAAAAGGCTTTTGCCGGATTTTTTTTATTGCTTGGATTAAATTCATTTTTGAATTAGTTTTTTCAGCCTGTCTTATTCCCCTTTGCTTCCTCTACTGGAAAACAGTGTCCTTTTTTGCCTGGTCCCCTCATCTGTGTTTCACTGGGTTTGTTCCTAGACACACGTACTCCAGTTCTCTGCATGGGTTTGTGGGTTGGCTCATGAGGGATACTGCTGGAGCAGGCAGAGATGCTTTTAGGATACAATAGTGTACCACTTGAAAAGGACTGGAATAGTCCTCCTCATCTGGGTAGGGAGACAAGTATCCTTCCTGGCAATTAATGGGCTGACTTATATGCTGAAAGAAATAGCTGGTGTTGTGGGGAATTAATTCTTCCTGTTACTCCCTCCTT